TCATCCAATTCTTGCGTTTTGATGCACTAATCCACTTGGGAAAGTTGGCTAATCATGTTTAGACCCAAAACGCGTGTTAATTTGAGGTTTAGAGGTTGTAACATGAAATTCAAATTCTGAATTGCAAGGAAACTTCAATTCAAAGTTACCATTTTTGAAACAATGGCATTCTCAGCTCAAGTGGTCTTAAGGCATGGTTCTTGATGCTTTAGAAAGATGAGGTTACAAGCTTTGCAATGGAAAAAGAATGGAGTTAAATGGATGCTTCAGCTGAAAGTTGTATTGAGTCAAACTTGGAGAAAAAGGGTTGACTTTCCATACTTAGAAATATTTCAAATTCTTCTTCAAAAATGACCTATAATTTCTTGCATCCAAACATGGCCTTCCACTTGGAATTTGCTCTTGACCAAAAATTATGGCATGAAGTAGATCTCTTGAATGACATTTTGAAACTTGAATCATTCAAAATCTCCAAAATTTGAGCAAGTTATGACTTATTGAAGTTGGCAAAAAATCATGAAATGACCTATAATCTTTTGCATCTTTAAGGCAACTTCCATCCATTTTCCCACTTTGCACCTAAAAGAAGGCATAAAGTTCACATCTTCAAGATCATTATGGAAAATAATGGACTCAAGGTGATAAAAATTGACCAAGTTATGACCATTTGAAATCACATACGGAAAATTGGGGACTCATCTGGAGGACTTGTAATCTTTCTTCCTCATCAAGTCTCTTCCTTATGAAAATTCCTCGGAACCTTTGAAGTGATTTGTTAATAACCCTTTGAAGAGAATGATGTCTTTGGAATCACTCAAAAATACCAAAAGATGAGCAAGATATACTCCTTTGAAGTTCAAAACCCTAGCTCCTAGATCAAGAAAATGCTTTGAGGAACTTTGACAAGCTTGAACAAACTTCTTGTACCAACATTCTTGATTTGTGAATAGAAGTTGTTTAGGATGATAATGAGGACTCATAGCCACCAAAACCACTTCCATATCTTGAAATTTGAGATAAATATGCTCTTGTGACCAATAGGAATAAGGCCTTGTCCAAACATGACATATTCTCCAATCAACCCCTTGTACTTTTGATTCAAATCTAATAACCTTGAAATGTGATGAACCAAAGCAACCTTGCCATGCCAATTCTTCCAAAACCAATCCAATGGTGAGGTTTGAACTTCTCAAGCTTTATTGACTATGGCATGGAAATAAACTCATGAACCCATGGGGTAACTTGTTAAATCTCATTGCCTTTACCTACATGGATAACAAGCAAGACAAACCAACATTGCATTTTATTAGTTAAATGAGGAAATCAAAACAATATTCATGATCACAAAAGGAACATAAGTCAAAGTGCTTGGTAATCCCTCAAAAAGGTCAAAACTAAATGTAGGGAGGGGAACCAAGAATCCTAGTGTGATCTTGTTGTGAATGAATCAACATGGTATGATGAAGGGATATTAGGGGCAAAAATTGGGGTACAACACCTTAGGCGAGCAGTCAGCATCGTCGGGCGAGCACCAGGCGATGGACAATAGTAGATTTTTTTAAAGTGTCATAACTTGAGTTTCAGGACTCCCATTGACGCGTCGTTCGAAGCATTAGAAAGATAACACGATGAATTATACTTTGGTGGAATAAAATAGGACATAGGAAGTGTTTGCCTAGTACATAGGCTTTTATGAACAAGATGGTTCAGTGATTGTTTTAATATGACGTGTGTGTATGTGATGAACTGTTGATGCTATGATGATGTTATTTTGTATTATGAAATATGTGTTGTTACCATGATGATTATACGAATGATGGTGCATTTTTATTTGCAGTGGTCATGTGGATATTAAGAAGTTCCGCATCATGCATTTATAGCATTTGTTAGGGTGTTACCCAGTGATGGTTGCAGGACATTGTTCCAGTGGATTCTGTAGGACGAATAGTCCATTGATGACCACAATCCCATAGTGTGAATTGATTGCAAATTGTTATGTGCTTCGGTTCCAAGCGAGAACCGGTCCTATTGGCGGGGATCTTTGGAGAAACGATGATGGTGTCATCAGTGAAGTTTTGGTACCATGTGCATGATTCTAATGAAGTTGTATTGCATTATATGTGGCATGCATGATGATTGGATTGAATGATGTCTTGTAAATGTGTATTTTGTGATAATTGCTAATTGATGAGAATACTATGCATTCGATGAATATTATAGTGTTGTGAAGACGTGAGTGTAACATGTGGTGTTTCTTTGATATTGTGTTATAACTATTATATTTACTCCTTATGTCTTTTATAATGACTGCGATTTACTCGCCCCTTCTGTTTGAATGTTGCCTCCATGTGGATAACGCACAGGTGATCAGGAATAGTCCATCGCAGCTTAGAGAATAGCCGTCAGAGTGCTTTGATTATTTCTGTAGATTTTAAAAGGTCTTGTTTTGATATGTAACATCGGTGATGATATTATTTGTTTATGAAACGACTATGTCATCTTGTTTCTTTTGAGATTTGAACTACCTTTGTGGTATTTGAGTTATTTTGTTTGAAGAAGATGTTTTGAAGTACTTTAAATAAAGATGTTTGAATTATGAATTTCCACTGCGAGTTAATTGAAAAGCTATGGTTGTTGCCCATGAAGTATTTGGCATGATTAACTTTGAAAACCCGTGTTATATTACGTAGTAGGATGTCTTGATTTATTATATGATTGTTTGTATGAAGATGGGACACCCTTTTTAGTGTATTACTCTGATCTATTTATCGATTTAATTGCGAATATTTCTTTAGAGTTTAGAATGGTGTTACAAAACATTTCACTGTCAGAATTATCCTAACCCTTGCATTCACAAATAAGTGAAGTATTCAGCAAAATGATATTAATAATCCTTTTTTTAATGGTATTATTGAGGAAGAGGTTTATATGTATCAACCCCCTGGGTTTGAGTCAGCTGACAAGTCCTTGGTTTGCAAGTTAAATAAAGCTCTCTACGGGCTCAAGTAGGCCCCTAAGTCTTGGTTTGAAAGATTAAAAAGCTCTTCCGTGAGCTTAGGTTTCATGCAAGCAAGTGTGATCCAAGTCTCTTCATGGTTCACTCAAACACTTTAACTATTATGGTTTTGGTTTATGTTGATGATATAATCATCACTAGAAACTCTTCTTCATATATTGACAAGTTAATCAAAGAGCTGAATATTAAGTTTGCCCTTAAACAGCTTGGAAAACTGGATTATTTCTTGGGTATTGGAGTCACTCATCTCCCAAATGGCTCCCTTCTGTTATCACAAACCAAGTATATTCATGACTTATTAGTCAAAGAAAATATGGCCTATGTAAATAGGATGCCTACACCTATGATCTCCAGCAGCAAACTGTCCAAATTTGGTTCTGCTACTGTTCCAGATCCCACATATTTCAGATCTATAGTTGGTGCTCTTCAATATGCTACTCTCACAAGGATAGAAATTTCATACTCAGTTAATAAAGTATGTCAGTTTCTATCTAATCCTATGGAGGAACATTGGAAAGTTGTCAAAAGGATTGTTAGATATCTAAGTGAAACTTTACACTGTGGTCTTCTCATCTCATTCAGGCTTCTCTTATTCAACAACCTATGTCCCTCATAGGTTTCTGTGATGCTGACTGGAATCAGACCCTGATGACATAAGGTCAACCTTAGGTGTTTGTGTTTTCCTAGGTCCTAATATAATTTCTTGGTGGTCAAGAAAACAAACTTTGGTGGTCAGATCTAGTGTAGAGGCAGAGTACAGAAGTCTAGCTCAACTTTTTGCATAGATACTTTGGGTTCAATCTCTCCTTAATGAGCTTAGTTGCAAATTTCAAACACCTAAAATTTAGTGTGACAATCACAGTACGGTCACTCTTGCTCACAATCTTGTTTTGCACAATCGTACCAATCATATGAAAATAGATATCTTCTTTGTTAGAGAAAAGGTTCATGTTCCTGTCCAAGATCAATTGGCAGATGTTCACTAAACCTTTATCAACATTTAAGTTTCTGTATCAGCGTGACAAATTCAAAAATTTTAATAAACACCATTTGATCAGCACACCATCAATTTCTACGAGAGAACATTAGAGATAATAAAATATTTAAGTTTGTTAGTTTACATTTATTATTCCTAAAAGATATAGGAATATATTTTGTGTGCAACTGACCTTCTACGGATTTTATCCTAAACCTTTTCTCTCTCTATACCACTTTTTAACAACAATAATATACATGAACTTTTTTTAACAGAAATCTATGTGATCGTTTTGTAAGTATTCAAGAAATTTGTAAAATAAAATGTATATAAATTGAATTTAACTATATGTAGGTTGATATTGATATTGTCAAAATTCACATGATAGCATTTTTCTTTTCTTTTATTTTTTTTTTCCTAGAGTAATCAATTTTCCTGAACATGTCATACGACAATTTCTTCAATACATGAATTTGAATTTTGTAGTGGTTGAACTAAGGTGAGTGCAGAGCACATGTATGATGATAACTAGTGGATCACTCACATTCATCAGAGTATCAAATCACACAAAGTGACAAAACAATAAGATGTAACAAGTTATGAATTAATAGAAAAAAATGAGATGAAAAAGTAAAAAATGATATAAAGATGACAAAAATAATCCAAACATAAGTTCACGGGTCACTCACTGTTTCATCTTCTTTTGTTAAATTCAAATTAAATAATATAAAAGTATACACTATACTCACCCCACTAGTTATACCTAGCTACATGCCAACAGTTCATTCATACACTTCTCATGATTTTTTCACATTAGTTTTTCAATCCATTTATCTGTAAAAAGCTGCACAAAATATAACTAATTGGTGCAGTTAATCTGCAGATAATTGGTTAAAAAGCTAAATAGCTTTTTAATCATGTGCTTAAAAAATAATAAGAATGAGCTAACATAGTATATATATAATTAGCTAAATTTATCACTTTTTTTTATAGCTTATTCTTCAGTTTATGGTTATGGTTATGGATTCAGTTACTTGTTCTTGGTTTCAAGGCTTATTTTTGTTAGCATTGGTTTGGTTTTTTAACTATGGAAGTGTTGATGGAGCTTCCAATACAGTGAAAGTTGGAAATATTTCAAAAGTGGAAGATGCTGTGAATTTTCATATTTACTATGGCCAGACCTTCAAGGTCATTAAGAATGCTGTTGATGGCCAGAGCTATCTTCTTCTTCAGGTACTTTACTTTCTTTGAATATTTATTGGACTTTGTTTCCACTAAGATGTGTTTTTACCTAACTTTATTTCATTCATGAATTTATCTTATTGGTAGAGTAACTCAAGGATTGCTTCAAGGACTAAATATTGCACTTCAAGAATCAAATCATTTGTCATACCCTTGTCGAATTTTTCTGTTGATACAGATTCTTTTCCTGGTATACATTACTAAAACTAGTGATTTCGCATTTCAATTTTTGTGATTCTTTTGATCATAGCCTTAAGATAGTGGATCCTCTCTGGAACGCTGTAACGGGTTGGAGTATCCCTTATACTCTTCCTAATATATTTCTTTGACCTTTGTTGTGGCTAACATTTTCTTTTTTACTTGTTTTGAATCTATGAATTGGAACTCAAGTTTCCTTCTTAGAGGTGAGAAACTTCTACTAGTGAAATTTTTTGTATGTTTATATTTTTTGGTTTGGCTTCGATTCGAACATGAAGTTGTTTTAATAGTTCTTGTATTTCTTCATTATTATTGTTTTGAGCAGCATTTAGGCTTATTAGAGAGCTTGAAAGGCGTAACATCAGACACTGTGGCTTCACCATGTGTGTTGAAATTGTATAAAGAAGGACAGGTTGAAATGTTGAACAAAAGTGATTATCAAATGATTTCGCAGTTTTCTGCACATTTCTTTAGTGACACTGATCAACATTCAGCTTGCAATTTTGCAACTACAGTTCCTTCTTCAGAAGATACCCCTTTGCAGGTAAGCAACTTAATTTTACTCTCTAGATAAATAAGCTGATCCAAACAGGTCCTAAGAACATGCTTGAAAGAGTTTTCTACAATATTTAAGATGCATTCACTTTGACAGAGAGCAGAATGGATTAAGTTCATAGGAGCTTTTGCAAATGTCGAAGCTCGAGCCAATCAAGTCTATACTGCAGTAAGAACACCAATCGGTCAATGGCATAACTATTAACTATATTACCGCTATATGGCGATTGTGTAATTTATGTTACTAAGAAATGGCTTGTTATTGTATAGGTTAAGGAGAACTATCTGTGCTTGGCCGAAATCGCAAAATCTCGAACTTCATTCAAGCCAACTGTAGCTTGGATGAAGTATAACAATGTATGTATCCTCTTCAGTTTTTTCGGCTTTTGCTTATCAAAACAAAATGAGTTAGTAACTTAGTATCATGTAACTTTGCAGGGTGTTTGGTCTTTTACTAAGGAAGCATATTATTTGAAGGTATGAAACCATAGCTATCTGTTAGAGAATTATGTTATTCTGGTCTATATCTATATTTTGATTTCAAAAATCGCCAACAGTATGTCGAAGATTCCGGAGGCGAGATTTTGGATGCCAACAAGAACACATACAATGTTTCTGATCCTGATGACTTAGAAGAATTGCATGCCATCCTATGTGTGAGTTCAAAATATAATACTCATTTCGACTAAATCACGCAGATTAAGAAAGTTAATAGTAGTATCGAATTTGTTAACAATTAGTTTTTCTGATCATGTAGACTGTGGAAGTAGTGATTGATGAAACATTAACTTCTGATCCTGTCAACTATACATTATCGACGTTTATCCAAAATCTAAACGTTGAAGACCGTTCTTGTTTTTCGTTTCTAACAAACACAAGCCTATGGCGATATGACAAACGGATTCAAACTTCGTCTCTTGGTATGTCTCAACGTCGAAACACACGAGCTTTTCATGATTTTCTAGTGAAATATGCTCAATTTTTGTGTAATTTTCTGCATGTTAAGACTGGTACAATGGAGCAGTCGCGCAACCTCAATTGGTATTAGCAGATCTTATTGAAGTTTTATTTCCAACTGGAAATTACAACATCACTTATTTTAGGAACATTGTTAAGGTATATGCTTTTCATTGCAAAAATTTAAAGAAATCGATGTTTTTTATTCGCATTTCCTATCGACTAAGTTGTTCATGTCAATCTTGCAGGGAGAAACACCTATAAACATTGGTCCTGAAATGTGTGACAGGGAAACATCCTCAACATTGGATCCTACAATAGTACCATGTGGATGATTTATCTTTCAACAACAAGTATCTATAGTTTCATACACTAATCTTTAAGTTCAATTTTCCTCCACCATTATAAATCACTACAAAGCATTTTATTGATAACATAGAAACATTAGTCATTTTGCAACAGATACACAATTTATTTGTAATGATGAATTAACAGTGTGAGCGAGATTTTCCCGAGTAGTTGTTTCGCATTTGAAAATAAGTTACATTTATTTGTATAGTTTGATCTTAACTCTGAAATTTGGACTTCGAACGCCTGCTGCAGCAAAACAATTGACATAAAAAATCAAATAAATACTTCTCATAGAGAAAATTTTCTAGTGAAAAGAAATCAATATTTTAGTAACTTTTGATTTTATTTTGTCGAAATTTTTTATTGGTTCGATGAGATACCTGCTTGTTCCTTGCTTTTTGAGACTTTGCTGCTTCAAGTTGGACACTGGTTTTTGAGGTTCATCACTTAGAACAGCTATATTACTTACCAAATTCTTAAACAAAAGGTTATAGAACATCCAAATGTATCTTTGCTTCGCTTTTTTCGGATCATTATTCACTGTCCTCCAAAATGTATAAATGCTTCCCATATTCATCAACTTGTTAGCATAGATCTTCCATGTATAGCTACAAAAGAAACCATGCAATCTTGACTCATTGTTGCAAATGCTAAATAATAATTATAAGTGTTTTTTTTTATGTACCGTTCATTGATGCGCTGCAATCCCGCTGCAGAAATCATGTTCCAATGTGTCGAATCCACTTTACACTTTTCGAAGAAATCAGCAATTTTGTTGCTTGATTCGTCTCCGTTGAGAGGATCAATATGAAAACCGGAAACGCTGTCGACAATAATTTCTGCTGGACCTCCATGGTTAGTAGCGAAAGTAGGCAAACCACAGTTCATTGCTTCGATGACAGTTAGACCGAATGCTTCATACAAAGCAGGCTGCACAAAAGCTCCTTTTGTGTCAGCAATGAAGCGATAAAGCTCTCCGTTGCGATGCCTATCGGTCTGCGCAACAATCCATCTAAATTGTCCCTTCAGTTGGTACTTTTCGATTAAATCGTGCATTTTTCTTATTTCTGCCATTTCTTCTCTATCTTTTGATTTCAAAGGATCAAAGAATCCTCCAACTATGACAAGGTTCACTAGGCTTCTCAATCTCTTGTTCTTTCCGTACCATTCGACTAAACCGGTTATGTTCTTTACAACATCAAGCCTTGCCATTGAGAAGATAATAGGTTGTTTCTTGTTTTCTAGATATCCACTGTTTCCATAACAATAGTTTTATATAAAATTAATCATTTCGTAAAATATCGTCGACAAAAGAATGGCAACTTTTGTCACTTACATATGATCTTTGTTATCTACTTTACTATATAGTAAGTCTTCAATGGCAGGATGAAATTGAGTGAGTCTTTTGTCTTTCTCTGTGTAAGGAAAATAGACGGATTGGTCAGCTCCAGGTGCAGCTATGTTGAACTTCGGATCGAATATATTTATCCCTGAAACAACTCTGCATAGCCCCGGGAGTGTAAATGTCGCATGACTTTCATATTGTCCGGGTTTATCTTTGCTGCAAAGAAAAATACTTTAAGTTTCTTCCATTTTTCAAATTGTGTGTCTGTGTCGTGTGTGGTGTTCGTCTCTGTATTAGTGCTTCATGCAGAAATGTTGTGAAATATAATTTTTTTCCTTTTAACTATGAGGCCTAACCTTCCGGCAATTTCCTGATATGTGCTAGTTATGATGAAATCGGATGCATTCATCGCAATTGTATCGGCCATGAATTGACACGAGAAGTGATACTTTGGGTCTAATTCTTTCCACTTGACATCTGAATCTTCATACTTAGTCTTCTCTAAAGCATGTGCTATAGTTCCCTGGTTTTCAAGCAACCTCATTTATTATTTCATGAAGGAAAAAGAACATCCTTAAAAGTCACAAAAGTTGTAATAGAATAATATGAAATTAAATTCCAATAGTGACCTGAGTTATCTTAAGTTTGCTAGCCATAAGAGAAGCTGCCAAATTCCCATCTGTGTAATTGCCTATAACAAGATCTGGTTTTCCTTCCATGATGTTGAGAATCTTAGTTGTGGCATCCTATAACATGAACCAAAGAACCGAAAAAAGTTTTGGAATGCGTCCTAGTTATAAACATATTTTCAAACTATATCGCATCAAATGTCAAAAATATGCATACCTGCGTAAACCTCTCAAGATAAGGATAAATGTCGAAGCGAGAAACCCATTGACGTAGGACTCCTTTATCTGTCTGAAAAGGCACGCGTAAAATTTTCGAGTGTTGAGTATCAATGATTGGTTCCAATTCCTGATTGCATTTGGTTCCTTGAGCATCAGGTATGAGCCTTGTCACCTACCATTGTCAATAACAAATACTTCCATAGCAAGTTATTATAATATGTAGAAAGGAATCGTGATTCTTTTGCATGGAACATACCACAAGAATTTGAGGCTTCACTTTTAAGCCTTGGTGCTTAATTCTAAGTAGCATTTCTGCTTCCAAAGCTCTCACTTGATCCAATATGTAAACTACCTATTCAAGATTGTAGAAAAAGTTTTGAAATCAGTTTTGCCTCGTCTAAAAGTAACGCGACTGCTCAAGTTTAGAAATGCTACCTGTCCGCCAGTATCTGGCAAGCCAAGAACATCAGCTTGACCAAAATAACCATGAATAGAGAAGATAACAACATTGAATATTGTTGGAACTCTACTGAAAAACTTTTCCATGTTTATCGGGTCTGGAGCTTGGAGTATTTCGGACAAAGCTCTCATTGTATCCTTCACTCTTCCTGCAGTATCTCCCCATCCTCTTTCCAAACCCCACTTCTTAAACCTATGAACGAAAATCGTATTAAATTAGCGAATCACAAATATGTTTTGTTCGACTTTAACATGTATAGAAGGTTTTGCTTACCTTGGTTCAAAATCATGATAGGGAGTATCCAATGGAAGTGCTGAGAGAAATGCATCAGCCACTGTTAGTGCCATCTGCAGCTTTGCAACTGAGCTCAACGTATCGTTTATCATTAGACTCTGTCAGTTTAGACGACAAAAAGAACGATGAATAACCAAAATTACATTACAAATTTACAATGTGTGTACTCCGGTGTTTCAAGACTAGCCAATTTAACCGACTGAATCGGGAATGGACTAGTTGAATCTGATCGAACCAGAATTGAACAGATTTGAACCACAGTTGGTTCAACTCGGTTTCTCTAGTTCGATCACTTGTTTCTAAAACTCTCGTACGGTGTGTGTGAATTATTAAAATGAAGATATTCTATGTATTTACTTCTCCTTGATGATTTAGCGATAACAAGTAGTCATATATAGGCTGTGTTTTTGCCAATTTGCCACTAAATCGCGAAGTTAAGAACTTTGAAACAAAATGCAGTCCATTTCCAATTGAAGTAGGAAAGGTTAACTTAGGAATAGGAAAGTCAAATGCTCCAAAATCTGCTTCCAACGCGTTTTCATCATTCGCCCTGCAACATAGAATCAACTTAGCCATTAAAAATTGTTACATGTTGAAATCTTTAGAATATAAAAATATAAGTGAAATGAGATGTAGCATACCATTTCTCGTCGTATATTCTTTCCTTAAATTTGAGGTAATCAGTGGATGTTATAGGTTCAACTGAAAGATTCTCAGAGCTCACTTTTACATATTCGCAAACACCAGGATCTTGCCTTACAGCAAAAGCAACATATGGTGGATCAACAATAGCTTCCTGCAATGTGTCACATTATAACATTACTATTACTCCTGTCATATTATAAATATCACATCAAGATTATCCAGAAATATCAGACAAACAGGCAACAAGTTGCGCCGCTAAAGATTAATTAGGAAAAACTTAACCTGTGTACAACTTAATAAGAACCCAAGATTGCCTTCCAATATATGATTCTTATCTCTCTGGTCATTTATAACTTGCTCCATTTCTTCCATCAAGTCATGAACTTTTATGATTCTTCTACCTTTCTCAAGGTACTTGGCAAAGCACCTTTTCATATGGTACCTACTATGCTTCGATTCGTCTGATGACATGTTGTCTTTTATCGATTCCGTGCGCTTCAAGCCTGATGCAGAAGCCATGGAATTAAAGATGTTGTGTATATGGTTGTTTCTCTAAGCTGATGTCTAGTGCATAGCTATTTATATGTTGTAGATTATGAATTGGGGGTCCCATGCATAGGTACAAGAGGGGGAGAAAGAACATTTTGTAAGGCCAATGAGCATGTCTAAGGGAGAACTATAGGTATTATTCTTTTCTTCTTTAATGTTTCTGTGGCAATATATGCGACAGAATATGTGAAGTTGCCATCTTCAAGGTATTATTGAAAAGGAGACAAATAACTCTAAAAAAATGTTACAATAGGATAATACCATTAATTAGAATAATACCATCAACTATTTTTCTAAAAATTGACCAAGTCTTGGGTTCATTTAAACAACTAAATTTATTTATTTTGATGATATGTGTTGTGAAATTAAAATATCAAATGTCAAATACACTAGAAATATATCATACGCGAGACAAAGAAAAATGTAATTAATTAAAAGACTTCAAATAAAATAAATTTATCACAAAATTAGTTTATTTAGTTCAATCAAACCAATTTACTATGAGAAAAATAACAACTTTCTGATCTACTATAATTCAAGAGTTGGTACACAAGATTACAAGATAACTTATAAGAAAATAGTCTTTCAAATTTATAAGAACATCTCACATTTTCTACTCAAATGTTTTGGAATCTCTCATTCACTCAATATTTGAATCAAACAAACCCAAAGTGCTTAGAAGTGTTTTTCAATCCCCTTAAATATCTTAAAGATCTTTCAATTCTTAGAACGGTAAATCCTAAGAATCCCTTCATTTGTCTCTCTAAGTTTCTCTCTCTAAAAAATACTCATTTTCACTCTCGTACCCAAAAATGTTGAAAATGCATTTTATAGGTATTAGTCGAAACACACTACATTCCCTGCAAAAGAAGGGGGCATTGCGTCTTTGGCAAACGCAGCGTGTTTATACATATACACTATGTTCTCGTAAAGTTATTCATAAGGTTTCTTGAATCAATTTCCACAATTCTCCCCTTTGACTTTGAAACTGACAGTGATGTCAATTTATCCATCAATCACTTTGTTGTTCTCTCTAAATATTTAATTAGACAATGATTTGATAAGTACACTGATCATCTTCTGAAACTACCTTCTGAATCACAATCTCCTTCGACTCAATCATGTCCATTATAAAGGACAAATGAATGTCGGTGTGATTTATCCTCTCATTATACACTTGATGATTCGCCAAGTGAATAGAACTTTGACTATCACAGTGTATCTTTGCACATTCTTGAATGATCCATAATTTCTCAACCGTGTCTTTCAATCATTCAACAAAGGCACTATTTTTCGCTTGAGTAATAAATAACGTGATCATTGATTGTTGATTTACCTTCCAACTTATAATTATTCTGGACAACGTAAATGTAAAATTTGGTAAGTATTTTTTAGTGTCCATATTTCCCGCATAGTTTCCAATCATAAAACCATCCAAAGTATCTTTATCTTGAGTTGTCTTTGTGTATTTTAAACCATCCCTTGATGAACCATTCAGGTACCTCATAACCCACTTCAAAACTTCCTAATGGACTTGAAAATATATTTAGAACATGGTACTTAAATAAAATATTATTGGTGTAAGTCCTGGCCAAAAAATTTATTAGAATTTGGTACTTGTATCAAATTATTTATTAATAAATAAAAAATATTTTTTGTTGTATTTGTTTTTCTAAAATAATAAAGTCCCTAGAATAGCTAGTCCGTTTAATGAAATATTAAGTGTGACTTAATCATGAAATCTCATTAAACATAAGGACATTATTCTTAAAATATCCATAGTCAAGCTTTATTATGAAGTGAGATAACATTAAAGTATTGAGACTATCATATGGATAGTTTGATGATCACATCTCGTGGATCATGGGAAAAAAATTATCAAGTCTTCACATAAGTATGAATTAAGAATAATATTCATATTGGATTTAGCCACCATGATAATACTACATAGAATGTTATGCAAGTGTCATAAGTTATTCTCAAGGTGATAGTGGTGTATATCACTCTTTGATCTGAAAACCACTATGAACATTATAGATGGAGTCGAGTACATTATTGTTGTTCCATTCTGGAACTAGAAATAGAGAGATACAAAAGTTGTGGCAGAGTAGAGCTTGTGATGCGACGGAGCGGGGGTATACCTGCAAAGTTAGCACTCCGACCCTGGAGTCAAATTGTTTTATCTTTTGCCCTTTTACTTTTATAAATCAGTTTCAACCCAAAAATATTCAAACAATTATCAAGAGGCATCTATCGACAGGAACTGAGGTCGACGAAGCAAGGATTTATATTGGTGGGATCAATTATCAACGTACAAGTCAACGAGAACGTCAGAAAATTCAAACAGTTTTCCACGAAGCCCAACGTGGGCTAGTAACCATCAACAATTACATATTTAGGACTTTTATTTAAGGAAATTTTTGTATTTGCGTTAGAGGTGACATTTCTTCATATTTAATAGCAATATACTCAAAGTACCCGCATCTAAGAGAGAAACGAGTTCAAACTTAACAATGTATGAATGCTTTCACACCTAAATTCATAGCAATTTCCAGCTTTTTACTTTAAATTGCAAGTCTTGTCTTTAATTTATCTGTTTATGCAATTGTTTTATCTTTTGCCTTTTTACCTTTTATAAACTAGTTTCAACCTAAAAACACTCAAAATACTAAGTCTAGGATTATTGTAGCCGATCCCACAAGTAACATTTAATAACAGACTAGCGATTGTTTCACGGAGAAACATCTTACTATCTAAGAAAACATGTGGCTGATAATTATAAGGCGTACTAGTCTTTTACAAAACCTCTTGTTAAAATCATCACTCTCTCGTACTAATTGATGCTAGTGAACCTTTATTTCCTAGATAATTTTTTTTTCTCTTTTTATTTTCCTACTTGTAAAAAATATATTTATTTTATAATAATAATTATTTTAACATAGTTTATTTTTTCACTATCTCACATGTTTTTAACCAATATTTTAAAAATCTAACAGGAGAAAGAACCGTTAAAACATGCAAGTGAATGTTCAATTGATTCAACCGGTTAAACCGTGGTTGAACCATATATTAAATTTAAAATAATAAAATAAATAAATATATTATTAAACATCCTAATAAAATTAATTTATATTATAATTTGTAAAATAAAATTCTCAAATAAATATGATACAATTAAACAAGCATACAAAAGAAGAATAATACAATATAAGGTCCAATAACAAATCCAAAAATTAGTTAAAGACCAATATTTATATATTTATCCTAATTGTTTAACTCAAAACCACAAATTCTTTATCAGTATAATTTTTCACATCTCTTCAAAGATCAACATCAGTTACCCCATATCCACAAATATTACATTATTTCTTCTGTTTCTATTTGCATTTATTTTGTCTCATATCTTCCAAATTTATTCTTTATTTGTCATCTATACAATTTTAAATATTTGTTATAATTAATTTGTTAGATTTAAACAAAGAAATAAAATGAAATAAAACATAAAAAATATTATCTTTGATTTTTAGAACTGTCTAGTTCACCAAAACCGGTCCCGATTTTATGGTTATTTTGATTTTTCGCGATTGAAGTAATTTGTTAGATTTAAACAAAGAAATAAAATGGAGTAACACATAAAAAAAAGTATTATCTTTGATATTTTGAATCCTCTAGTTCACTAAAACCAGTCCCAATTTTACGATTATTTTAATTTTTCACGATTGAAACAATTTTATCTTAATTTTATGGACCTAACTATTTATTAGTCAAAATCGAATCGAATTAACCAACAATTCATAGTTGAACCAATTCAACCGGTTAGTTGAATCTGGTTTTTAAAACATTATTTTTAATGTAATTGACACTATTATTATTTTGTATTAAAAAATCTAGTAATTTATTTCAACTTTTATGCTGGGCCATATGAACATATGGGCTAATCCAACCCGGGTTTCGTTCGCACAAACTAGGGTTTTGTAGCCGCAGGACTCTTTCTTTCGTTCTCTCCTTTATAAACACCTTCACCTCTCTTCTCATATTATAACTTACACTCTCTCATAGTTTTTGAGTTATATGTTTCTTTCGATTTAGGGTTTGGTGAATTTGTTAGGTTTTCTTTAATGTCTTCAAATTGTGCGTCAAAATACTGATTACCACTGCTCGTAATCCTGTGAGCTTTGAGTATGAGCTGACGCCAAAGCGATTTCTCTCTGCAATCTATTTTGATCTGTTTTCTGTTTGGTTAACTCAGTTCCATTGCAGATAGGAAAATCTTTCACCATGTTAACAATCCTCTAATTTTTACTTAATTTTTTTTTTGTTGCTAGGGATTATGTTATTTTGATGTGTATGCTTTGTGCTGTGAAATTGATAAATTGGATGTGATGATTATTTCCCCAGATGATCGAAACTGAACATACTGTGCGATTTTTGTTTCTCTTTAGAGAAATCAAGCCAAATAATCTGATCCATTTTTACATTTTGTGATGTTGTATTTTTAAATTATTATGTAATTACATTATTGAAAAACTTGATTAGTTAATGTCTAGGTTTTATTATAATTTTCTTCTGTGCGAATTTGTTTCTCTCTAGAGAAATCAAGCCAAATAATCTGACCCATCATTTATTAATTTTTGTGTGGCTATTATGTGTTTTCTATAATTATGAATTAATGCTTTTTACTTCATTAAAAATAAATTGGATTTGATGATTATTTCCCCAGATGATCGAAGCTGAACATAGTGTGCGAATTTGTTTCTCTTTGGAGAAATCAAGCCAAATAATCTGATCCATATAAATTGAATTGTTTCTCTTATAATAATCAATACTTAGGATAAGTAATGATTATATACAATTGCCCTTGACAATCTCCAGATATCAAATAACAGATGTTTAATGCTTGTTCTACTTTCTGTGTGGATAGCAAGTTTGGCTTGTCTTTTACATTTATTTACTTTAAATGATTGCAGTTGCTTTCCTTATGGTAATAGTTATAATTATGTACACAAGATTCTTGAATTAAATGTTTATATGTAATTGGAATTTCATTTGATTGTATTTATGTTTTGAAGATTCATCCAAGATTTTAGTATTCTATGTTGAATCTAGATTTACATTACTAAGAAATGTGGAGAACGGTAGATGAGATACATTTTGTTAAGGGATGCATAGGTATCTAACAATTGAATAGTTAGTGTAAATATAAGTTTTATTTCATTATTAGTAGTAATTGCCAAGATACTTTTAATCATCTTTGCTGTAAATGGTTTCTCAACACAATTGCTTGTAGATTTAAGACAAATCTGCACTCTAATCTTATATATTTTCATTTGACATATTATTATTATTATGATTAAAAGTAATGAAAATGTGTAAGGTTGGAGTGCAGATTTGTTTTAAATGTATAAACAATTGTGTTGATATCTATGTCAAATGTTAAAAGCAAATTGACATAGTAATATGATTAAGGCTTTTAACAAAATGGTCAGACGTCATGTATATCAAGTGGGTGATCTAGTAATCAAGTACATCATACGGTCACAAGGTGATTACATGGGCAAATGGATTTCCACATACGAATGGCCATTTGTAATCAAAAGCATATTTTTTGTGTGAGTCATGATTATAACTACCATAGATGGTGACGATCTCCCTCTCTTGTGAATGTAGACATAGTTAAAAAAATATTACGTATGAATAAAGAATGGGTAAATGAACTCCCACATACGAATGGCCTTATATTTTTTGGGGAGTAATGATTCTAATTACTATGGATGGTGACAATCTCCCTCTCTTGTGAATGCAGACATAGTTAAAAAAATATTACGTATGAATAAAGACCTGCTAGGTTGTGGTCCAGTCAAAATTATTTAGGGATTTGAATCGTACAATTATGTCCCATTGAATCACCTTATAACTGGACTTTTATCAAGCTTAAACGGTATTGATCAATCCAATCAGCTCAAACAAGTAGCATAGTAATGAGACGCTCAAGGATATAGTAGGGACAATAGTTGAATTGAAGCTTAATGGGATTATTACACATAACTGTTTTCTCTTTTTACATTATTTTGTATAGTTTTCATTTTCACGACGGTGTTCTCCTACTAGAACGTCAGTCTCTTTGTACAAAAATATTTGTTAAAATTGAATATGATTATTGTTCACAATACTTGCATAAAAAAACAAAAAGACAGTTACAAATGACTTTAAGAAATGGGGCAAAGTCTAAAAAAGCAATTTGTAGTCCCAATTGTTACTCTTTCTAGCAGGTACAGGAGCAAAGAGGTCTTGGAAGTCACCACTACATACTTAGCATACGACCCAGTGACGTCTATGTTCCCCACAGAGTAGAAACAACCAAGATTTTGATCTCTTCTTCCCCAAGCAGGAATCACCCCCTCCAGCAAAAGTTCCCTTAGAGAATTGGAATTTGTACTCCCAAGCTGAGTTTTATAATCTCGAACAGTTTATAAAGCCTTATATCTGGTAGAGTTTATTTCTCTAATTGCGGAAGTTTATTCCTCAATAGCGTTTATTTCTCTACATCGGTAGAATATTCTGACAAAACATCATCTCTCTCCAGAGTCCTTCTTAAGCAGGAGTCAAGAATCTCCGACAGAATACTCTCAAACGGAAAGAGGAAATCCCCGATGAATCATCTCCATTCACAATTCCTAGCGGAAATGAAGGGTTCAGTTTCCCAATACTCTTCAGCAGCAATCAAGGATTTACTTTCCGAGACTAAGAAATATCGCCACAACATCCCATATTCATACATCATGGCATGCACATACACATTGCATATAGCATAATCTCATTTATTTTGAGACCGTCATCACAATGCATTTCATACGTCATGACATTGCATACGACTAACTCTGGTTCAGTTAAATTGACACTAAGATTTTTCTGATTTCCATTTCAGTCAAAGTTAATTCAAGACATTCTCTGGTTCAGTTAGATCGATACTAAGATCTTTATGATTTCTATTCCAGTTGAAGATAATCCAAGACTCTTGTCTGGTTCAATTAAATCGATCACAAGATTTTCTGATTCTTATCCAATCAAAGATAACTCAAGACTTCTCTGGTTCAGTTAAATCGACCCTAAGATTTTCTGATTCTTATCCAGTCAAAGATAACTCAAGACCTCTGTTGGTTCAGTTTAAATCGACCAATGATTTATTCTTATTCTTTTCTGATAGATACTTTTTTTGGTTTAGTTAAATCGACCCTAAGATTTTATAATTCTTATCTAGTTAAAGATATTGTAAAGCTAGGAGTCCGACCAGATAGCAGTTTATTAATTACTACGAAGCCTGAACCCGACCAGATGATAGTATAACCCATGACACCGAAACCTGGACTCGACTAGATAATATTATACCTCATATTCAAGTTGAAGCATGGACTCGACCAGATAACAGCTTACTTTCTTCAAATCGCTGAAGCCTGGATAAGACCGGATAACAGTTCAATATCTACAATTACTGCAAAGCCTGGAACCGACCAGATCGTAGTTAATTTTATATTCCCCAATAAGTTGTTGTGAAGACTGGAATACAACCAGATATCAGTCAGTCTTATTGTCCTCAACAAGTCGCCATGAAGCCTGGATTTCAACCAGAAAACAACAAACTTTCATCTCTCCAATTCAGAGATAATCCCTCAGTAAAGCCATGGATAACTGAAGTTCCTAGACTCTATTTCCCACAAAGTTTTTCTCAAACAGGAGAAAAACATAAACTCATATTTCCCAGCGAATTCCTCCTCAAACTGCAGGAACAAGAACCACCAAAGGGACCATGTATGAAATCAACATCTACTTTGGATGGCATCTTTAAGCACATCTCCAACGACTCTCTGTCATCTTATTTAAATGGCATCTGTAAGCCCATTCCCGTCGTCATCAACAATCAGTGTTACTTCATGCGAGTGCAAATTTCTAGGCACTTTAGTGTTCAATCATTTTCCACCTTCAGATCACGAAAGACAAACAAGTCAATCTACATCTTAAGGTTTAAGAAGTTTGAACAGGGGCAGCTGTTGTACCCCAAAATTTGCCCTCTCATGTTTTCCAAGGTTTTCTCTTACATGGGTGGTCACAAACACTTGATTAAAGAAAAATAAAGATTTTGAAGATAAAGAAGGAGTCTTCGATTGGCATTGGGGCAAGGTGCCTTCGATTGGCATATGAACAAGAGTCTTCAATTGGCTTTGGGGTAAGGTCTTTCGATTGGCACTTTAACAAGGTGCTTCGGTTGGCATCTGAGTAGGATGTCTTTCGATTGACATCTGAACAGGGAGATTCGATTGGGCATCTAAAACCCTTCGACCAGGCATTGGACCCCCTTTGACCAAGCCTGGTTCATAAGGCTTCGACTGTGCATTAGTGTTTCCAATGATTTCTGGTAAACAACCGCTAGTCTTCCAAACTATCGAATAATCTTTCTGACTGTTATTCAATTCCTCTGGTAACTCACAGGATCGACTAGATTGATCCTAGGATTCCTTGGTCATTAGTGTAACTCTCATGATCGAACAGATATTCATGGTTGATATTTGAGTGTTGTATAGGTGTTTGGCTTATTTCGATTTCTCTCTTAAAGGTCTAAAGATGTAATCAAAATGTGCGTGTACGAAACTAAGTTGCATGAATAAATGTTAATTGTAAAGACATGTAAAATTGCATAAAAGACAAGTAAATGGTTTCGAATTATAAAAACAGTTAAAGTAAAGGATTTCTGGAACGTAAAAGGTTTGAAATATGAAGAAAGTGTTTAATACAAGAAATCTGTAAATGACTTTAAGTAAAAATATGCGTTCGAAGGATAAAGCTTGAAGGTAAAGGCATGGAAAATATGATAGTTCTCTGAAATATAAAGTGCTTGAAATGTGAAGAAAGCATTGAAATGTAAAACTTTTAATGAAGAGATTTCGAAGTGAAAAGACTGTAAATGAGAAAACTTGTAAATGTTATTTGACAGAAAGATAAAGGAAAATGCTGGAAATGGTAAAAGGTTTTCATTAAATTAGAAATATATGGTGCTATCGTACGTACATTGCTCTTGCATTCGTTTCCCTTGCCATGTGGTAGTTTGAATGTTACTGAGTATTTAGTACAATAGATATGACACACGAAATCCTAATACTAAGACTTCTATTTATACTAATTCGACCATAACGGTCTTGCTATAGGATTATGCCACGTTCAGAACATGCAGAACAATGCCTCTTTTTTCTTTCGACGTGTCTCCAAATGCTCCAGCACATAAATTTCAAACTTCGAATGTCCCGCTTCCATTTGAATTTCAAATGTTTTGGTATTTCTCCGTTTCGAACGCACTTCCCAGACACAGCCTTGTTGTTATTTCGAGACTTCTTTAGATATGTTCCCATAATTGCCACTCGAAGCTCCAGCTTTGACATGCTTATTCGAAACACTGCTTCTGCTACTTCGAAACATGACGTTTTACTTCATTTCGATCGAAACGTTTAATTCATTTGGCTTCTAATAATATTATCAAAATCTTCAGCCAACAAATTGCCCCTTTAAAATATGTATTTCGATTTCTCTGAGAAATACCTATTTTAAACATATACACAAGATTTTGATGTGACTTTCGAATCATCGTAACATTTAATGCATTTGACTCCAGTCACGTCAATCATAGCGCTTTTTGGATTCCTTAACCGCCTGGAGCCACTTCACAGTATGGTGCAGTTACAAATAATGATTATCTTTAAATCACGCCTATTACCCATGTTAACTTTACGCCACCTCTTCATCACACCAACCCATGATTTCCACGTATCACACCCTTATTCAGTGGATGCTTAAACTTCCCCATTATAAAACACCACCAACTTAATCTTTTTCTTTTCTTTTCACACTCTGAATCTTTTACCCTCCTTCTCTCGTCAAAAAACCCAAGCTTTCAACATCCTTCAAAAATGTCTTCTTCTACTTCATCCCAACTCAAGAAAGTCTCCAAGAAGAAAGGAAAAACTGCAGGAACTACCATGGAAAGTAAGATTATCACTCACCAAGGTCAATCCGTTCTTGCCCCTCAGATGATTTCAAAGGAAAAAGAAATGATGTATGCGTCACAGGTACTCATTCCTACCAACGTTGCTGGTAAGAGGTTAGCTTTAAATGGCCCTCTTACGGTTTTTGAAATATTAAAAGACACCAGGACGATTTTCCCAGTTTGTTATAGTTTTAAACCCTTGTTTAACAAAATGGACGCCCCTAAGGCAATAGAATCTTCTAGTTCAAATACCATAGAAAACCCAACTGTTCCTCCTAAGGACCCCTTTGTATTGAATTATGTAAAAAGTAATTTTAAGCCATTTCGATCTTGCCCCACCTCTGATATTGCTTATCAAAATTGGTTCAAGAAAGTAGAAGCTAAGAAATCCCAGCAATGGGAACAATTAGGTATCTATAACCTGATTAAGCTATCGAAGCCTGGTTTCACCTACAGCCACCCTCTGCTATTCGCGTCCCTCTATTTCTGGGACAGTACCTATAACACTTTCCATCTCCCAGGTGGAATGATCACCCCAACCTTCTTCGACATAGCGGCCATCACTGGGCTATCGCCAGTAGGAGAAACTTATATCCCCGACAACGAAGAACATTCAAGCATAATTGACTTCGAAGTCAAGCTAGCAAGTTTTTCCAAGTTTATCAGTCATTACCATGCTGAGGGGGACAATGTGTCTGACGTAGAACACATTGCTTTCTTAACCCTGTGGCTGTAAAGATACATTTTCTGCAGTAGATCCCTACAGGTAGCTAGTAGGTTCATTCCTCTAGCTAGGGACTTGCATGAAAATCGAAAAGTGTGCCTAAGTGAACTGCTCTTAGTTGACCTTTATGAAAGCCTGAGGTCAGCTGTTTCGAGCCTCAAATCCCATACCTCCAAGAATATTCTGTTGGCTGGCCCTTTCTGGTTGCTTCAGCTATGGCTAAATGCCATGTTCGAACCCTCCTTGTCAACCGCCAACACTATTGATGAACAAGATCCTGAGATAAATGATTGGATAGTCGAAGGCACTAGGCTTCGAAGATTAACTCCAAATGACGACAAAGATGACTTCAAAGTTCAATTCTCGAAATACATCATGATATTCTCCAAAAGGCACAAGTTCGAAGAGAGCATGGCGCCTTTTGCTTCGAGGGCTCATGGACCTTCTTGGTTCACCATGGCTCTCTCAGAAGCTATCAAGAGCAAGGAGATTCAGGATGTATGGAGAGCTTT